CCCAAAAAGAGGAACATGGGATGTTCTCACTCATATTTGGTTTCTAGCCATAAATAAAGGACATTGAACCTATAATTCGGGTTCTTAGAGAAGCTAAATAAGAAGGAGAACCCAAAGAAAATCATATAGGCATCCTCCTGAATATTAAACTTCATCAGGCGATGAAAGGAGACAGAGACAGAGACCCACATTGGAGCACCGGACTGAAATCTCAAGGTCCAAATCAGGAGCAGAAGGAGAGAGAGCACAAGCAAGGAACTCAGGACGGCGAGGGGTGCACCCATACACTGAGACAATGGGGATGTTCTATCAGGAACTCACCAAGGCCAGCTGGCCTGGGTCTGAAAAAGCCTGGGTCAAAACTGGTCTCGCTGAACATAGCAGACAAGGAGGACTACTGGACCTCAAGAACAATGGCAATGGGTTTTTGATTCTACTGGACCTATTGGTTTCGTGGGAGCCTAGGCAGTTTCGTGGATGCTCACCTTACTAGACCTGGATGGAGGTGGGTGGTCCTTGGACTTCCCACAGGGCAGAGAACCCTGATTGCTTTTTGGGCTGACAAGGGAGGAGGACTTGATTGGGGAAGGGGGAGGGAAAGGGGAGGCAGCGGTGGGGAAGAGACAGAAATCTTTAATAAATAAATAAATTAATTAAAAAATGTAAGAGTTAGCTAGAAACAAGCCTAAGATCTTGGCCAAGACTTTGTAATTAATGATAAGTCTGTGTGGATTATGGGAGCAGCTGCCAGGACACAGAGAAACTCTGCCTGCAGTTACTGGCAGGAGATCTGAAGAGATTAATAATTCCAACATGGATGAGGGAAGGGTTAATAGGGCTCCAACCAAAGCTGAAGAACTTTTGACAAATGATGGCTAGTCACAGAGGGGAAGTTATTTTTCTCCCAGAGTGTGGCAACTGGTAGGTTGCCCATGTTCATGTAGGCAGCACTAATTGGACTTAACTGGATTATAAATAGAATAAGGAACACACAGGTAGGAGGGGCACACTCTGTACGGGTTGGGTGGAGGGGAAGGAGGGAAGCTAGAGGTAGATATGATCGAAATACACTGTATATGTACATAAATAGCCGAAAGAATAAAAAAATATTTTTACTTAGCCTCTCTAGGGTCTTAAACTATAGGCTCATTATCCTTTGCTTTACAGCTATCCTCTTGCAAGTACATACTATGTTCATCTTTCTGGGTCTGGGTTGCCTCACTCAGAATGGCTTTTTCTAGTTCCATCCTTTTGCATGCAAAATTTCAAGATGTCACTTAATTTATAAAAAAAAAGAAGACAAACGCTCTGTAACATTAACGAAATAATGCTGATTTTAACTATCCAGATAGTGTCTGCTTCACCTCCATTCAAGGAGATTCTGAGGCCTTGGGTAGGTCAGTCCAATGTAAAAGGTTAAACATTAAATAAAGGTGAATTAAGATTTCTATGAAATAATGATCCATAGAGTAGGCAAGGGATGACTTCACCCTAATGTGAAAATAACTGCAGTTACAGCAGCCAGCAAAAGAAATTACTGTCAGCAGCATTTTGTTCACGTCACCTCACATATGCAGATCAATTTCATACATGTAAAGACAGATCACATCCAAGGTTCAACCATGGACTCTGCCACTTAATGGTTTAAAATCAGGGATCTGGTTATAGAAACTGAAAAAAAAAATATTGGGTAGCATCTGTACTAAACAATAGGGAAGATAATCTGAACTTTATAATGAATTAGCATCTCATTTTTCAAGTAATTCTGTATTCCAATCTCAACAACGCAAAACTCATGTAAATAAACTGTACTTGTATTCAACAAAGAATAAATTGATTTTGCGAGAACAGCTTCTGGCTTGGTTCAAAATTACTGCAATAACCAAGCCAGCTAACAGAAAAGGAATCTATGAGAACTAATACAAATATTCGATTTTCCATTTGGAAATGAAAAATACACAAGCATTTTAATATTTACTGAAGGCATCCAAATATATAATAGATCTTGAAATGTTGAATTAAAAAGTATAAATTTGCTGGACATGGTGGCACACACCTTTGATTCCAGCACTTGGGAGGCAGAATCAGGCAGATCTCTGTCTGAGTTTGAGGCTAGCCTGCTGTAAAGCAAGTTCTAGGACATCCAGGGATACACAAAGAAACCCTATCTCGAATATATTGTATATATTGACTTGATGATAATCATAGGGAGATTCTTAATGATTATATCACTGGAAATATCATAAGAAACTACAACGCTCCCATGGGAAAAAATGGACATTCAAGGACACCCAAGCGGCCTCCTTCATCTCTTGTTCTGAGCATCCTCTGCCAACCACAGAATACTCTTGCTTATCCAGTGTGGATGCCTGAGCATTCACTGCTGACTATGGGAGAACACCCTGGCTTACCAAGTGTACATATCTGAACATCTCCTGTTGTCCACAGGAGAACACCCTGGCTTATCCAGCGTGGATGTCTGAACATCTCCTGCTGTCCATAGGAGAACACCCTGGCATCTCCTGTTGACCAACAAGGCCACACCACCTAATCCTTCTCAAGTCGTGCCACTCCCTGATGACTAAGCATTCAGATACGTGTGCCTAAGGGGGGGGGCACTCTTATTCAAACCATCGCACCAATATAGAGGGGGGTTGGGAGCAATAGAGAGGGGGAATGAAGGGGAAGGGGCCCCTTAGTGCAGCAGAAGGAGGTAAATACAGAAAAGAGTGGGAGGTGGGCAAAATAGCAAGAAGAATGTCTGAAAAGGCACAAGGATGCATGTTATTAACTATTTCCCTTTTTAAAAAAACTATAATGCACATAGGAATTCAGTGTATAAATACACATATCGACTTTTAATGAACTTTCTCATTTGGACTGACACTGCTCCCTCCAAGTACCAAAGACCACCTAACAGAACCCCAATACCAGAAATGAGGAGCCCTCTGTTGAGTGGATGACCAGGGCTAAGAGACTTCCAAAACATACAACCTACTGCTGTTTCCTTTTGGTTACCGCCCATAGGTGGAAGGTTAAGTCCTTATTACTGAAGACACCATGCCCTTCAGAAACAGGGCCAGAGACCCCTGAGCTGGTGCTGACCTGAATGCCCCTTCCCCTGAGGACTGCCTTTCACTGAGCTAAGAGGCAGAATGCAAACTTCCAAAGGAGAAAGGCAGCCTTTAGTCTTACCCAGCTATGACGCCTATGAATAACGTCAAAGACCAGCATGGGATGATAACTCTTCGTGCAGTAGTGGCACACACACCTTGGCAACAACCAACGGCTCTCCAGTCGGACTGAAGGTCTGCTCATTAAGAAGGACGCCACATCTGGTATTGGAAACCCAGTTAACTGTTTAATGCTAGTGAGGTCGTGATTGTTGGAGGAGGATCTACAGCCATTAGTTGTCTACACCAGCATAATCCCTAACAATAATCTATAAACATCTGTCCTTCTACCCACAGGTAAGAGTAGTCTTCACCTTCATCAGGGAAACTTCTCTTTGTAACAGAGACCACTCTAGAAAAATCACACCCAATCAAAATGCAGGGCTGTGGCGTCCAGTCATACATTTTCAAAACACTCCAGTACCTAGGGTTCATGAAACATTGCACAAGAGAGGAAGGAAATGTGAGAGCCAGAAGTTCAGGGAATTTTCTGGGAGACTGTATCTCCTATTAACACCCAAGTCTCAGCAACATGACTGCCCAAAGGTGAGCAATGAATGTTCCATTCCAGACTGCATGGGGGAAAGCCCGGGAGGCCTCAACCCTACACAAAGAACTACAGGCAACTGAGTAAAGCTAGGAGCAGGAGAGGTGCCCCCCCCAAAGGAAGAGCCCACCAATTGGTTGCCTAGTGCCGAAAGGTTAGCCCTGAAAACAGACAAGCAAGTATCATTATATGGACTCAACAGGTTATATTTAGGAATATGTTTCTATGCAAATATATAAATGTGTGCAATAACAATTAGCGAAAAAAGAGGCCATAAATTTCGAAGTGTATGGGGGAGGGGTTGGAGGGAAGAAAGGCAGACATTTTTAATTAAATAATAATCTCAAAAAATAAAGAAAATATAAAAATAAATAAAAAAGTTAAAAGTACTTTGAGATTCCATCCAACCCCAGTCAGAATGGCCAAGATCAGTAAAACAAATGACAGGTCATGCTGGTAAAAAAGTGGGAAAAGGAAAACTCTTATTTATGGCTGGTTGGAATGCAAACTGGTACCACCACTATGGAAATCAGTGTCAGTTCCTCGGGAAACTGGGACTAGATTTGCCTCAAGATCCAGCTATACTACTCCTGGATACATACCCAGAGGACTCCGTATCCTGCTACAGAGACCTTTGCACATCCGTGTCCATTGCTGCTCTATTCATAATAACCAGACATTGGAAACAGCCTAGATGTTCATCCGCTGATGGATGGGTAAATGAAAGCGTGGTATAGTCACACAATGGAATATTATTCAGCTGTTAAAAAGATGAAACTTGTCTTTAAATGGATGGAGCTAGGGGGGGAAAATCACCCTGGGTGAGGTAATCCAGCCCCAACAAAACAAATGCCTCTTTTCTCTTATAGGCAGATGTTAAGTTTTTTAAGCTTTCAATACATATGCTAACAGCTGAATAAGCCCAAAGGTTAGGTACATAGAAAGGAACTGTGGGTAGGCTAGACTATAGCAGTGTGGAGAGACAACGAGAAAACCTGAATAGGAAGATTATAAGGGAAGGGGATGGGAGAGAAAGGGAAAGGGGGGAATAAGGGAAAGAACAACTAACACTACGGCCGTTTGAAAAGCCATATGGAAACCTACTACTGCAGAAGTCTAAATGGAGTCACCAAACCATGGGGCAGACGACGTCCCAGCTAGACACCTCATGCCACCAAGTAAAACTCCCGGTGCTGGAAATGTATACACATGTGTACATTACATGTATGTATAACCGCCTAGAGCTCGAACACGCAGAAACACTAGTGTAGTTCACCTACCTCCATTGTGAGGTCGTAGTTGTGGCCCAAGATGCTCTGGATGAGTTCCTTGATGGTCTGGTCTGCAGCCAGCTGGGCCTCGGACTGCAGAGAGGCGATGATCTCCTCTATGCTCGTGGGGAAAAAGCGTGTCGCCTGCGGGGGCCAGGACCCCTGGCTGGTCGAGCTCCCTTCGCGCATGCTTCTGAACGAGGGCCTCACCCACCGAGAACCGCCCATGCCCTCGCGCAGGTAGTAGGTGTGGATCCGCACCCTGCGCAGCCGTCCGCTGTCGTCGAAGTCGCTGCCCAGGCTGGACAAGGAGCTGGCATGTCGGTAGCGGTAGCGGGTGCGAACCAAGCCGAGCACCCGGGCTTCGTGCGCGGGGCTCAGGGGGAACGCGCCCTTAGACACCGGCACGCTCCGGCTCTTGGGGTGCCGCCTCTTGAGACGCGAGCGCGGCCGCAGCAGGAGCGCGGGCCTGGCGGTGCCCGCCTGCCGGGCGATGACCGGAGGTGCTTTGGGGGGACCGTACCGCCGGAACGCCGAGCTCCGCAGGTAGAAGTCCCGCGGGCTGAAGGGTTCGGGCTTCTCGGGACCGCGCCGCGTGCTCTGCGGCGCCCCCTGCAGGTCGGCCTCGGCGGGGCGCTCTGGGCTCTGCACCCTTGTCGACGAGGACGATGGCTTGACAGCCCAGGATACTTTCCCCTTTGCTCTGGCACTGCGTGGGCGAGCCTCCTGGTCCTGGTCATCCTCGAGGTCATCCTCAGAACTTGCAGCAAAAAGCGGCCTGTCAGCCAGCTTCTGCTTGAACTGGTGATATTCCTTTTTGGATTCCTGGCGAATCTTCTCAAGCTCTTTAAACATATACGATTCTTCTCGGGATGTCAGTCCGAAGTGCTTCGGGATGGTGGACATCTTGACGAACTTGACCTGTAAAATACGACCACCGCAATATAAATATATATATTATGTATATTATACATAATATATATATTTATAAATATATATTTAACAAAACTTGAGTTGATAAAATTCCAGTTCCGCTAAATGTCTCCTGATAGAACATACTGTGTTCAAGTAATTTTGCGTCTATATCTATGGCCTTTCACAGGAACCATAAAATTACTCCAAACCAGTTGTTTCAACCTGTGGGTCGTAACCCCCTTGGGAAAAAAAATAAATAAATAAATTTTAAAAAAATTAAAAAAAAACCTTCATGGGAGACACCTAAGACCATCAGAAAGTAGATATTTTCATTACTCTTCATAACAGTAGCAAAATTACAGTTATGAAATAGCAACGAAAATAATTTTATGGTAGGGGGTCACCACAACATGAGAGGAATTGTATTACTGGGTCATAGCATTAGGAAGGTTGAGAGCCACTGCTCTAAACTAGCAAGAAAAAAAAAAAACTCAGCGATCATAACCAAGCCCCTTAGGACCTATTTTAACATTTCTTCTTCTAGACGGGGTTTCTCTGTATTATATAGCTCTAGCTGTCCTGGAACTCCCTTTGTAGATCAGGCTGGCCTCAAACTCACCGAGATCCGCCTGCCTCTGCCTCACTTCCAACCAAGCAAGACTCCCATAAGTGTAGGCACAGAAAACCTAAGGTAGCAGGTAGCAGGAACAACGGAGAACGGGGCCTCCAACTGTGCTCCCCTCCCCGTGGCTTGGACTGAGCCAGCAAACATTTTTTTTCCAGTTATTTGGAAGTTTATAAAATATAAAATTATATCTGACAAGTTTAAATTGTAACATTTTCACATTAAAAAAAAAAATCTCCTGGGAGAAAATTTGAGGGCTCTGGTGACAGAAGGGCCAAATCTCTGCTCTGGGCTTCACAGTTGTTGCCTCCTCCTTCTCCAGATGGTCCCCGGTGGGTCTCCATTGTCCAGCCACTCTGCTTGGTGTGCCAACTTCGTCTGTGGCAGAGTGAAGGAAGGAGGGTCAGCCTCTAGGCAGCGGCAACCAACTCGCAAAGCCTTGAGCGCTAGATGTTTGTATTTAGCTGAGAGCTACTGGAAACCACTCGAAATTGTTAACAGAAAAAAGGCTGGATGAAATTAGTACTTGGGGATGGTGATATTACACAGAACAAAAGGGGGAACCAAGAAGCTTGGTAGCTTTAGCCTGAGGCTTGAAATTGGTAACTGAGTATAAAGAAAGCAGACATAATATGGTTAAAAAAAATGGTAGCACCTAGTCGATGATTAAGAAAAAAAGTGGGGGCGGACAGTGGTGGTGCTCACCTTTAATCTTAGTACTCAGGAGGCAGAGGGAGGTGGATCTCTGTGAGTTGGAGGCCAGTCTGGTCTACAAAGCTAGTTCCAGGACAGCTAGAGCTGTTACACAGAGAAACTCTGTCGTGGAGAAAAAGAAAAAAAAAAAAAAAAGAAGGAAGGAAGGAGGGAAGGAGAGAGGGAGGGAGGGAGGAGGGAGGGAGGAGGGAGGAAGGAAAGAAGGAAGGAAGGAAGGAAGGAAGGAAGGAAGGAAGGAAGGAAGGAAGGAAGGAGTGGTATCTGGGATCTGAGTGTGGCAGCGCAGACCTGAAATCTAGCACTCAGCGGGGAGAAGCAGAGACAAGTGTGAGACCAAGGCTGACCTACGTATTGAGTTTGGGGACAGTCAAGGCTACAGAGCAATATCCTGCCTAGATAATAAAAACCATATACATTTCAAATATCAGCAAGTAATGAGAGCAACTAAAATCTTATCAAAATGATATTTTGGAAGATAGGTCAGTAGGTAGTCACTTGCCCAACATTAACAAGACCCTGAGTTTCATCCTGATTGAAAAAAAAATAAATGAGGAACTTGTATCACTTCATTGAAGTCTAGGCCATACCAAATACATAATAAAATGTGTTATTCACCCAAATGTACATTTCAAAATGGTTAAAGGGTAAATTTCATGTGTGTATTTACTATCATTTTTTAATGCCAATTTCCGTTCTTCGGCTTGCTGTTGGATCTTGTAGGGCTGATTATTCAGCTGGAGATTGTAGATACTAAGAACTATTTAAAATGTAAATGTTCTCCAAGAGACTTAAATCTAAAATTACATAGATAATATGGAAACCAATAGCATCCTTTATACTAAATGCTCTAATTTAAAATACGATGCTAAGTCTTTACAATTGACAAAGAGAAAGCATCTAGATAAAAGCATAATAAAAATTTACTAACACTATATGGAGAAATTTTAGTTTACTTGAAGGTCATAAAAGATTGAATAAAAACTAATGCTCATTGGTGATAAGCCAAGTATCTTACTCAAAGCGGGTAATCACAAGACACTGCACTGATTTCAGGTTACACAAAAATCTAACAATGATATTTAAAATGTTTAATTTATTGGAAATAATAGATAGGATTACCAAACACTACGAAAAGAGAAATGGAGGATGCGTTCACTTGCCCCTCTGTGAGGAAATGACTGGAGAATTAAGACTTTCAAGATAGAGCCTAGAACTGAAACTCTGCTGTTAGGATGTGTGGAGGCTGAGAAAGAATTTTGAGATATATGAAGTATATTATGAAGGCAGAATTTGATTAGTGATATAAGGAAAAAGTGTTCAATAAATCATGCTGCGGCCACTGGTTGACTACTTAGGAAAGAATTGTGCCTTGGTTTGTGCCAAAACTAAGGATCTATTTAAAATATGTAATAATTAAACATTTAAAGCATCTATTTGTTTACCACTTATCCATATTCCTCGGTTAGACTCATATCAGTGTACTGTTGTCTTCCTAGTAGAAATCACTTACTATCTAGCTGGGATAATATTTAAAAAAAATACCTTATTCATCCATTTCTGAAACATTCCCTGCTGACTCTAAACTGGAGACTTTTGCAACACGACAGAGCTCTCCTGGGGGCACTAACAGGCTTTCTTTCTGTGCCCAGCTCTGCCAACGTGTTGTCGTGGGACAGTTCAATTCTATACGCTCCAGAGGTTCATATTACAAAGAAACACTAAAGGATGTGGTGCTACATGCCTTCAGTCCAAGTTCCTAGGAGACAGAATTTTAGGTCAGCCTGCTCTCCATAATGAGACCCTTCTCAAAAAAGAAGAGGAAGAAGGAGAAGGAGGAGGAGAAGGAGAAGGAGCAGCAGCAGCAGCTAGGTAAAGGATAAGAACTAGTGTCTGTGGTCCAGCCCATACAACATGAACATTAGAAATGAGTTCTAAAGTCTTTGAGGAAGTTTCCTCATTTAAAACCTCCTCGTAGTACTTCTGTCCTGGTTGTTTACACAAGTGACGTCATGTTCACAGGGACACCACCTGCAAGTGGCTGAGAAGTCCTACGTGGAAAGAGGCACAGGCTAGAAATGCTGCAATACCTGATGCAAGCGGCTTCGCTCTCCTGCTTGAACTTCCCTCTCCTTGGTTCCTGTTCTAAGTGCACTTCCCAACTTCTAGGCCCTCAGTTTGTTCCTGAAGCTTAAACAAACGCCCATTGTTTAGCGTTTCTATGTGCATTCCCTTGAAATCTAAATAGAAAAGTTGTGCTTTGTGCCCCCCCCCAAAAAAAATAAACCAGCAGGAAATAGAACTTAAAATTAGATAGGCAGGAATTTCTATCTGACATTCAACCTGGGTCGTATCTGGAGGCTCATGCCCGTGTCTCTCGACCCACTCACCCACCACTGAATAAGGAAATCACTTTTAAAAATTCTTTCTCTTTCTTGAGGGCACTTTCCAAAGAGAAGCTGGCTCTAAGTTGGAGATGTTCAAAGAAAAATAATACATTTGTCCCAAATAAGAAACGCAGGAAAGGGTCAGATATTCAGCTCATAATCCAAGCTAACTCTACTTCATAGTTTGAGATGGGACAGAGCGTGCTTAAAAAAAAAAAAAAAAAAAAAAAATCTTTGGGAGCCAAGCAAGAATTTCACTCTTTCACTCTTCTGTTCTTTCCAAATTTGGAAGTACATCCCTTTCCCATCTCTTGTACTGGAAGTTCAAGAAAGGAGGAAGCAGAGGGGTGAAGACCCAGCTTTTGCTCCTTCACCGCCATGCTAAGGGAGGCATTAGGGAGAAACTCTGGCCACAACTAGCTAGACTCAGCTGCTAGAGGGTCCCAACGTGTTTCCTGCGTGAACTCTACACTTCAACGCAAGCAAGCTCTCCTTTTATTCTTGAGGTTGTTGTCACTTCCTCTATGGGAACAGGAAAGCCAAATTCTCCTCCAGATTCATTTTCCCCCTTTGAGCAAAGCCCTTGCAATATAGCCACGAACAGCCTGGAATTTGCTGTGTATACGGACTGGCCTTGAACTTCTCATGATCCTCCTGCCTCTTCCCAAGCACAGAATTACAGGTGTGTGACACCATACTCGGAGCCTGCTCCAGGTTCTCTGTGAAGTAGACCCACACTGAACACTCCCCAGATGAACTGGGCACAAGCTTCCTGAAGCCCTGAAGCCCCACGGAAGGGAGCCCTGCCTGTTGGGCCTCACTCTTCACAGGGCTGCACTGGCAGTGGAGCCAAAGCCCAGGGCAGTAGCAAAATGGTTTACCTGACCTGTCCTCTCTGATATACAGTTAAGGTGGCTCAGAGGGAGAAGTGATTCATTAAGAACAGAATTCAGACTCTCTCTTTGGTCTACACCTAAAAATTATCTCATTTCCTAAATTCGTGTCAATGTCAACTTCTACTAAAGTCCCAACAGAAACTCCTAAGCCCAGGGACAAGTTGGCTTATCTCAACTGGCAAAAGTTCCATCACAGGCAAGGAAAATAAAAATATTATGAAAATCATGTTTGCTTTTGAAAACTCAGTGGGGAAAAAAAGGTCTATTTGTGCTTTGATCAGAATTTCATAGAAGTGTAAAGAAAACATCCTATCATATGAATAATTCTCCTGAGAACAGAATAGTAAGTTTTCAAAATTTCATACTTGGATCCTTGATGAAGAGAGA